TATTTGAAAGTACGAGCTAGTTAAGTAAGAGTAGAGGGATCTTTCAAGATAGAGAATGAATCAGTCATTGTGTCAGTTATCGCGGTTACTTTACGAATATACGAGCTAGTTAAGAAAGAGTAGAGGGATCTTTCAAGATAGAGAATGAATCAGTCATTGTGTCAGTTATCGCGGTTACTTTACGACTTTGCTAGTCGATCGATTAACTTAATAATCGTGATAACTCTCATCACAAATACTTCGCCGAATTCTTAAAATATCTTCACACACTGATTACTCGTATTTATAACGTACTCTCGTTTCTCCAAATTCAACGAAATGTTTAGATCATTATATCATCATGAACTTTTGAACCATTGTAATTCCTAGGACTGCTTTTGTGAACTTTCTAGACCTGGCGACATTAACACCACTAGCAGCTCTATTTAGCATATCATTAAATTATAACACTGAAAATATAGCTTACAACAAAATTTCAATTATTGAATGATATACATCTGGTTTTAATGATAGAATACTGGATGTATTATATAGTTTTATGGGATTATTTATGGTAATTGAGTGGTAAGGGATAGATGGGAGTTGAATATCTTACTATTTCACTCATTGCTTCACGTCACAGCTAGCTGAGAAAGGTTTACAATTTGTATCATGTATTTTTATCATTCATTTGTATTATGTCTTTGTATGATTAATATCCAATTGTTTACCGTTATTTCCAACTAAAAAACGTCATGGCTGAGCGATTAGAAACTTGAAATAATACGTTTTTTATATACTTTGCACAAATCTAACTCTTGACCAAGTGAAAGTTCCACAATAATAAATAAATCTCGATCTCCACAAGAAGAATATTTGTTAGTATAGCTCTTACAATGTTGAGGATCTGCTAGGGATGGACTGGCCATAACAGTGGTCGGTGTAATGACCGGGCTGGTCCGCCAGTTTTAACCGAGGGCCGGCCTGCCTGACTGTTAAAAAAATCTGAAAATATATATTCAACAATAAATAATAAAATGTGCGTGAAATGAAAGTCTTCTTGTTGTCTGGCTTACTGCACTTGTTTTAATTAAGTTTTAACCCCCCCCCCCCCCCAAGAGACCAGGGCCGGTCCAAATAGCCAAATCACTGCACTGCTCCGATCCTCCAGTCCTCTTCTGACATTAGTATCTACTGATTAAGTTATCTATGTGTAAAAATAAAGTTCACAGATTGTATCTCTGGTTTTAGCAAATACGTGCAAAAGGGGGGAAATGGGGTAATAACTATCGATATTTTTGTGGTTACATTGTTAAGAACACATTGTAAAGTAAAATTTATTTGTGTGATCGAATAACGTATTATGTTTTGTGGGAGTATGAAATTGCATGTGTGCTACAGTATATTCAATGTTATAAAAATTATAATTCAAACACTTTCGTAAGCAAACGATTCCCCCCCCCCCACAAAAAAAATGATCTGAATGAAACGTTTTTGTAGGATTCTAGTTGTCTTTGACACTTAGCAGTATCCCACTAAATGAATTTGCGAAATTTAGCATCGCATGAGCGAAAACATTTGCAGTTCCATTTATATAAACTAAATAAATGTACATTAGGCAGTAATGATGAGTTTTGAAAACTATTGCACATTTAGAACTTATTGGGTAACGTTAATACTGTATTCGCTAACCAGTTTTTGCGGGAAGTTAAAAATATTTTGTTCTCTAACTTTTGCATACAGCTACACAAGGGTTATCTGCATATAGACGCTTCTAAATTTGAACTAGAAGGTAAACAGTTAATAAACAACATCATCTCTTTGCGTACTCTTATCTAAATGAATAATGGAATTTTATGTACTTCCTTCTATCTATCTGCTATGACACTTCAATAATATAATAGCTTCAATACAACAAAACACACTTCAATAATATAATAGCTTCAATACAACAAAACACACTTCAATAATATAATAGCTTCAATACAACAAAACAAACTGTATGTCGATTTTTCCCTGGGGATCGTCTACAAAATTTTACAACATCACTAATTTGAGGTTTTAATGTCTGTGTTCAACTGTTCTTGTATGCAGGTACATTTAACTATATGTTGGACATCAGTGTATATGAATATCACAGGTCACATCAAGTCTGTGGTTTGCACTTCATGTCCAACTACTCTTGACACGCTCAAATATTGTAGTAGAAGGCAACTGACGCAATTCCAAATGCATGCTAATCAATGCATTTGTGTAATGAAATTAATACCTGCAAAACTGCACTGAGATTGACGAAGATCAGAAAGAAGTAGACATACTGCTATTTCCGGCTCTTTTGTGATTCCATTTAAACATGTAAATATATAAACGTATTATAGTTATTAAAGCAAAATGAAAAAACAGCACTGTTGCGGTGGAAGTAAAGACTGTGATAAATAAATGCAAGCGAACATTAAAATATAGTCTGTATTCACATATAAATGTAAGTTTGGACTTAACTGGTCGATTTTTATGTTCACTTCTGGTTGCTTGGACAGGAAGAACAGATTGGAAACATTACATCCATACAGGACAAAAACTAGATCAAGAGTACTGATTATAACAATGGACCATTTCTTCTTTCAATGCTGTCTCTGCAAGAAAAAGAATCGTAAATTTTAAGCTGACCAACTATAATTACATGGCTTTCATACGGTAGGTAGTGTAAGAGTGTTGTAAGTAGTCATGGTTGTATTTTCGTAATCCAGTTTGACTTGCCATTAGCCAAAAGTCACATATAGTGTATTGAACAAATAGATGTTTTCTAACGTATCAAATAATTCATCCATA